CGATTGTACCCGAAACAGCAAGAAAGTAAACTTTTTGTAATATAGTGTTCGTCACGTTAGCCTAACAGGCAAAAGGTCCTCAGTTCGAAGCTGAGCAGAAACAGAGTTTTATTTTTGAGGGAATGCATATACTCTTTGCGACTTTTTGAATTTCTGTAATATAGTGGTCGTCACGTTAGCCTAACACGCAAAAGGTCCTCGGTTCGAAGCTGAGCAGAAACAGAGTTTTATTTTTGAGGGAATCCATAAACTCTTTGCGACGTTCCAGGAGATTTCCTGCTGCTTTCTCCAGATAAGTTTTTGTAGTGTAGTGGTTATCACGTTCGATCTCTCATGCAAAAGGTCCCCATTTCGAAACTGAGCGGAAACCAAGGTGACTTTTTCCAAGGTTGCTTAAGTTGGGGGTCTGTTGCTTTCTCACGCAACTACAAAAGGATAAGCCTGCCTACAGGTGTTAAAGCAAAAGAGGCATTCCGATAGGTTTCTGTAGTGTAGTGGTCATCACGTTCGCCTTACATGCTAAAGGTCCTCAGCTCGAAACTGGGTGGAAAGAGACAGAGGCTTTTGTTCTATCAGTGCTGAAATGGCTCTATGGTAAGTAGGTGGTCCAAGCTGCAAAGACCTTAATTTCGAGGTAGGAGAAGGCAAGTTTTTAAGGAACTATAAGCAGACTGCCACGCCGAATGAACTCTGTCCTGATGTGTGTGGGATTTACTCAGATTGTCTATCTGCTTTCAGGGCAGATTACAGTATCAATTTTACCCGAATCAGCACGAGAGTAAACTTTTTGAGTTTCTGTAATATAGTGGTCATCACGTTAGCCTAACACGCAAAAGGTCCTCGGTTCGAAGCTGAGCAGAAACAGAGTTTTATTTTTGAGGGAATCCATAAACTCTTTGCGACGTTCCAGGAGATTTGCTGCTGCTTTCTCCAGATAAGTTTTCGTAGTGTAGTGGTTATCACATTGGATCTCTCATGCAAAAGGTCCCCAGTTCGAAACTGCGCGGAAACAAAGGTGAATTTTTCCAAGGTTGCTTAAGTCGGGGGTCTGTTGCTTTCTCTCGCAACGCTACAAAAGGATAAGTCTGTCTACAGCTGTTAAAGCAAAAGAGGTTTTACAACTGGTTTCTGTACTGTAGTGGTCATCACCTTCGCCTTACACGCGAAAGGTCCCTAGCTCGAAACTGGGCAGAAACAGACACATTTTGAAGAAAAGTATGAACGTTTTGCGCCTTTATTGGGCTTTAGAAAATGTTACTTTATGCGCTTTTTACCGACCATGAACCTAAAGCATTCGGTCTGTTATCTGCAGGCAGGTTTCCGTAGTGTTCAGGGCAGATTACAGTATCAATTTTACCCGAATCAGCAGGAGAGTAAACTTTTTGAGTTTCTGTAATATAGTGGTCTTCACGTTAGCCTAACACGCAAAAGGTCCTCGGTTCGAAGCTGAGCAGAAACAGAGTTTTATTTTTGAGTTAATGCATAAACTCTTTGCGATGTTCCAGGAGATTTCCTGAGGATAAGCCTGCCTACAGGTGTTAAATCAAAAGAGGTATTCCGATAGGTTTCTGTAGTGTAGTGGTCATCACGTTCGCCTTACATTCTAAAGGTCCTCAGCTCGAAACTGGGTGGAAAGAGCCAGAGGCTTTTGTTCTATCTGTGCTGAAATGGCTCTATGGTAAGCAGGTGGTCCAAGCTGCAAAGACCTTAATTTCGAGGTAGGAGAAGGCAAGTTTTTAAGTTACTATAAGCAGACTGCCACGCCGAATGAACTCTGTCCTAATGTGTGGGGGATTTACTCAGATTGTCTATCTGCTTTCAGGGCAGATTACAGTATCAATTTTACCCGAATCAGCACAGACAGGTTTCTGTAGTGTAGTGGTCGTCACATTAGCCTAACAGGCAAAAGGTCCTCAGTTCGAAGCTGAGCAAAAAAAGTTTTATTTTTGAGGGAATGCATAAACTCTTTGCGACGTTCCAGGAGATTTGCTGCTGCTTTCTCCAAATAAGTTTTCGTAGTTTAGTGGTTATCACATTGGATCTCTCATGCAAAAGGTCCCCAATTCGAAACTGCGCGGAAACAAAGGTTAATTTTTCCAAGGTTGCTTAAGTCGGGGGTCTGTTGCTTTCTCACGCAACGCTACAAAAGGATAAGTCTGTCTACAGCTCTTAAAGCAAAAGAGGTTTTACAACAGGTTTCTGTACTGTAGTGGTCATCACCTTCGCCTTACACGCGAAAGGTCCCTAGCTCGAAACTGGGCAGAAACAGACAGAGGCTTTTGTAAAGTATGAACGTTTTGCGCCTTTATTGGGCTTTAGAAAATGTTACTTTATGCGCTTTTTACCGACCATGAACCTAAAGCATTCGGTCTGTTATCTGCAGGCAGGTTTCCGTAGTGTAGTGGTTATCATGTTTGTCTCACACTTGAAAGGTCCCAAGCTTGAAACTGGGCGGGAGCATTCACTCCTTTTTTCACAGTTGTTCAATTGGCTTTCTGTTGAGGAGGAACTCAACACTACAAAGACTGTGCAGCCAAGAAGCATGAAGACAGTCACTAAAGTTGAAGTTGATGCAAAAATGAAAGTGCAGTCATTATTTGACCTAAACCTAACCCACACTCGTGCCATTCCAAACCTGTGTGGCTTTCTTCTGTAGAACACAAAAGAAGATATTTGTCTGAGTGGTCCTCTTTTGAGCAGCATCTCTATGCTACGAAGGCCTTTCTTTACACAGGTGTGAAGACAATTATTAAGCCACACTAAGCAGCGGTAACTGCCACGCCGACAGACTCAGTACTATTTCGCAGGTAAATTGGATGAACAGATGGCTGGTGCACTCAAAGGCCCACTCTGTGGTATAACATCACCCCCCCCCCCCAACTGTGCGGAAACAATGGTGACGTTTTCCAAGGTTGCTTAAGTCAGGGGTCTGCTGCTTTCTCACGCAACGCTACAAAAGGATAAGCCTGGCTAGAGGTGTTAATGCAAAAGAGGTTTTCCGACAGGTTTCTGTAGTGTAGGGGTCATCATGTTCGCCTTACACGCGAAAGGTCCCCATTTCGAAACTGGGTGAAAACAAGGATGACTTTTTCCAAGGTTGCTTAAGTTGGGGTCTGTTGCATTCTCACTTAACGCTACAAAAGGCTTCGCCTGCCTAGAAGTGTTAAAGCAAAAGAGGTTTTCTGACAGGTTTCTGTAGCGTAGTGGTCGTCACATTACCCTAACATGCAAAAGGTCCTCGTTTGGAAGCTGAGCAAAAAAAGAGTTTCATTTTTGAGGGACTGCATAAACTCTTTGCGATGTTCCAGGAGATTTGCGGCTGTTTTCTCCAGATAAGTTTCCGTCGTGTAGAGGTTATCACGTTTGCCTTACACGCAAAAGGTCCCCAGTTCGAAACTGCGAGGAAACAACGGTGACTTTTTCCAAGGTTGCTTAAGTCGGGGGTCTGTTGCTTTCTCACGCAACGCTACAAAAGGATAAGTCTGTCTACAGCTCTTAAAGCAAAAGAGGTTTTACAACAGGTTTCTGTACTGTAGTGGTCATCACCTTCGCCTTACACGCGAAAGGTCCCTAGCTCGAAACTGGGCAGAAACAGACAGAGGCTTTTGTTCTATCTGTGCTGAAATGGCTCTCTGGTAAGCAGGTGGTCCAAGCTGCAAAGACCTTAATTTCGAGATAGAAGAAGGCAAGTTTTTAAGGAACTCTGAGCAGACTGCCACGCCGAATGAACTCTGTCCTACTGTGTGTGGGATTTACTCAGATTGTCAATCTGTTTTCAGGGCAGATTACAGTATCGATTTTACCCGAAACAGGAAGAAAGTAAACTTTTTGTAATATAGTGTTCGTCACGTTAACCTAAGAGGCAAAACGTCCTCAGTTCGTAGCTGAGCAGAAACAGAGTTTTATTTTTGAGGG